TCCACCTGGGTGTAGATGCCGGAGAAGGACATACAGCCTCGGGGATCTGCTGGGACGCAAGACCCTGGACCTCAGGGGCCTCCAGGTTATAGTGAAGTCAGGGAAAAGTGAAAATGTGAAGCTCTGAGGCAGTGTTATCTTGCTTTCAAAGTGCTTCAAAGACCCAAGTCAAGCACCAGCTCCTCAGACAGAAATTCTACCCCCACCCCCGCCGGTCTTGGTGATGATGCTCCCTGATTAGTGCTCCCTGATCGGTAATGGTGCCTCCTGATCTCCAGTGGGGGCTCCTTGAGGGCAGGAAATGTGTCTCTTCTCCCCTGCAGTGTCTGCTGGATGAAGCACCCTCCACAAATGCTATCGTGACCTGGGCAGACCCTGGTTGGTGGTGGAAGCAGTGAGTTGAACTTTGAGAAAGAAGGTGCCTGGAGGACTGGGGAGCTTGGCAGGGTTATGATAGACTTTTAAAAATATTTATTCTTTCCTATTTATATAGTGCTTTACAATCCAATGCACTTTTATGTGCATTATTTCATTTTCACAATTCCATCTGTGATAAGTTAACTGTACAGTAGTGGAAAACCGAGTGACAGAGAGGTGAACAGATATACTGAAATTTACAGGATGAATCAGACAGAACTAAAACAAGAAGTTGCCTTCTTAAATTTCCTGATTTTCTAAGTGCTATTTCCAGGATGTGGCAATTTCTAACTTCTGACCTCTCTCTTTCTTCACTGTTTGGGAGCATTTCTGGGGATTTTGTCTTTGTTCTTTCTTCTCCATTCTCCTCCCCCAGGTGGAGGGTTTGTTTTGTCATCCTGGAATTCTCAGGCAACCTCCTCCCTGATGGCCACTGATTTATATGACTTCTCATTTTCCACAGAAGATTCATCAGGTATGGAGTAAATTCTCAATGTGTGCTAGCCATCATGATCATGATTTCATGATATATTTCTTCAATGCAAAGAACTTGTTTCCCTTTGTAAACTTATTTCCCTTTGTATCTCTAGCACTTTAATGAAATATTTGTGGAATGAATGACTCACACATGAAGTGGAGGGATTTGCGAAGTTAAACCTGAGAAAGGGAAGAAGCAGACGCAGAGGGTGAAACCTGCCGTGAGTCGGCTGGTGGGGTGTTGGGGCCAGGTTCTAACCTCTGATCCAAGAGCTGTGAAGGGCGGTGCAGGTAGAAATAGTCAGTACCATGGGAAGAAGTTGGTTTTATCTTCTCCAGTCATGGACATCTAGCTCTCCTGTTGGTGCTGTCCGTGGGGCAGGAAAAGGAAGTCTGTGTGTATTTCCTGTTCAAACGAGATGCCGTTTTGCCCTTTGAAGAATTCTATATGTTTAATCCTGTTTCCAGTTGATTGCTAGTTGATAGAAGTCCCAGGTGTGCTTTTTATTATTATTCTCTGTATTTATCTTCGGTTTTATTTATTTCATTTTTAAACATGTGCGATGGATTTATTCTTTGGGTGTGTTGGGCTTCGCAGCCCAGCAGCTTCTTTCACTTACGTAATCTTCATCTGAAATTGTTCTACTGTGGCTTTTCTCCTTTTTTCTGCTGACATCTTTGTTCTACTCCTGAGTGTATCCTTTTTCCCTCCAACTGTTTAATGAAAACTTTCAGGAGAGCTGAAGGAGCTGTACAATGAACGCCTGTGTATACCTGCCACCTAGATTCTGCCATTAACATTTCACTCTATTTGGTTCAGCTTATTTTTTACACATTGACAGTAAGTTGCAAACATCAAGTCTCTACCCCTAAATCCATCAAGTATATAAAAATTAAAAAATACAAAATAAAAACAAACAAACAAACAAAACTTCCAGTTACCTCTGACCCATGAGTGAGGAGAACTCTTCATCCCAACTGGCTGAAGGTGAGGGTGGGGGCTGCTGTTCCTGCCCAGCCAGAAATCTCCCTGGGTTCCAGTGGAGTTCATGATTCAGAGGGCTACTTGCTCTTGTGAGCCCTTTAACCATCTCTGCCCCAGCAAGCCCGGAGGGGCAGCAGGAAAGGCCTGACAATGCACCTTATAATCTCCCCTGCCGGTGGCTTCCTGTCTGATCTCAATGCCAGGCAGTTACAGGAAAGTTCCAACTGCCAGACTGTACATCCCACTCTTCCTGTTCCAACCAAGGAACTGCTCGTTACCCGTCAGAACGAGCCTCCTGTGCTTCGCAGGCTCAGCCTGAGGTCATAACGGGGAGTGATCCTCTTTGGTTTCCCCTTAGACCCATTTGGCTTTCACTGTATTGGCCGCCTGTCCTCCCAGACCAGGGTCTGGTCTTTCAGAGACCCCACCCCACCCCCCAGTTATGCGGGAAGCGGAGGGTGCACATCTGCTTCTAAGTTCTCCTTGCTGGTTTGGTGTAATTCCTGAAAGAAAGCATTCAGCAGTCATTTTATTTGCAAAAACTTTAAACATAAACTTGTTTATGTTGTGGGGATGGGGGAGCATGTGGAGAGAAGCAAGAGGACACTTTGGGGGGTGATGGACATGTTGGTCAGCTTGGTCGTGGTGATGGTTTCAGTACTGTATGTATATGTCAATATCATCAAATTGCGTGCTTAAATATGTGCAGTTTCTCGTACATCAAGTATGCTTCAATAAAGCTGTTAATAGGTTTAATGTTGGTAATATAGTGCAGCTTATTAAAATTTTATTTTTTATCTCTTTATTGAGGTAAGCATGCATACAGTAATGTGCATAAATCTTAAATGCGCAGCATAAGTAATTTTTCATATGTGCACCGTCGCCATGCATGTTAAAATATAGAACACTTCCAATAGCTCAGAAGCTCCCTTGTGCCTTCCCAGTCGTTAACCCCTAGAGGTCAGCACTGCTCTGAGCGCTGGCACCACAAATCAGTTTTGCCTGCTCTTGAACTTCATGTTAATGGACGTGCACCTCAGTTGATGCCTATGTGGGAGTTTGCTCATTCTCATTGCCATAGGGTATGACTCTATCACTATTTATTTGATCATTCTATTGTTGATGGACATGTGGGTGGTTTCCAGTTTGGGGCTGCCATGAATCAAGCTGCCATTGTCATCCTCACACGTCTCCTTTAGTGGATATTGCCGGTCTCTTCTCTTGAAAGATGTGATGGGTTGAATGGTGGGCACTGCCCTCCCAGAAAGGTAAGTCCACAGCCTCACCCTCAGACCCTGTGAATGTGACCTTGTTTGAAGAAAGGGTCTTTACAGATGTAATTGAGTCTCTGAGATCACCTTGGATTATAGGAGTGGGCCCTCAATCCAAGGACACGAGTCCTGAGAAGAGACACTCAGAGAGGAGAAGGCCTGGGGAAGATGGAGGTGTAGACTGTGGTTGTGCGGGTACAGACCAAGGACCACGTGGAGCTCTGGAGAGAGCGTGGTCCTGTCAACACTTCGACTCAGGCCTGCAGCCCTCAGAGCCCTGAGATAGCACATCTCTGCTGTTGTAAGCGGCCAGGTCCCGGGGAGTGTGTAACGGCAGCCCCAGGAAGCGCAGACGGGGGTCATTTACAGTGTAACTTTATTAATATCCATTTACATTTGTGCGCACCACTCACACTGAAATTTTTAAGGCATTTTGAATGCAGACGTTCCCAAGCCCGACTGGGTTTTTCCCCCATCTCTGAGTTCAGGTAGTGTTTGCTTAACGTCCCAGAGTTGAGAAGGCCCCAGCAGGCCTGTCGGAGTGTGTTTGTGATCCAGTCCGTCCCAGTGGGGTTTCCATGGAGAGCCGGCTGCTCCTTACGCAGCCTGTGCCTCCTCTGCTTCGGCGGCTGGTTCCCCTGCTGCTGCCCTGCCCTTTCTCAGGCTTGCAGGAGCAAGGCCATTTGTTTCCTATTAAAATTAGCCATACTTAAATTAAAAAATTTTTTAATAAAAGCGAAATATATACATGACACCGATACATAAAACAGAAAAAGAAATTAACCACATTAAACCTGCCCTGTTTGG